CGAGGTTGTGCATGATGAGAGTATTTCTGTGTGACGAAAATGAAGCATAGCCAAACTATATGATTTTTTAGGGATAAGCTTTCTTTGGCCATGTTATTTTGAGAAGACATAATTGCTTAGTTAGTATGCTTGAAGTATTATTATTTTTATGTCAATATTAAACTTTTGTCTTGAATCTTATGGATCTGAATATTCTTGCCACGATAAAGAGAATTACATGGATAAATATGTTAGGTAGCATTCCACATCAAAAAATTTGTTTTTATCATTTACCTACTCAAGGACGAGCAGGAATTAAGCTTGGGGATGCTTGATACGTCTCCAACGTATCTATAATTTTTGATTGTTCCATGCTATTATATTATCAACCTTGGGTGTTTTATATGCATTTATATGCTATTTTATATGGTTTTTGGGACTAACCTATTGACCTAGAGCCTAGTGTCAGTTTTTGTTTTTTCCTTGTTTTTGAGTTTTACAGAAAAGAAAAATCAAACGGAGTCCAATTACCCTGAAACTTCACAGAACTTATTTTTGGACCAGAAGAAGGCCATGGAGTAAAAGAGTTGGGCCAGAAGAGTCCCTGGCTGCCCACAAGGGTGGGGGCGCCCCTGGGTGCGCCTCCCTACCTCGTGGACAGCCCGGAGCCCCCCTGACTTGTTCTCGACTCCAACACCTCTTATATAACCCAAAACTTCCAGAAAGGAACCTAGATCGGGAGTTTCGCCGCTGCAAGCCTTTGTAGCCACCGAAAACCAATCTAGACCCGTTCCGGCACCCTGCCGGAGGGGGGAAATCCCTTTCCGGTGGCCATCTTCATCATCCCGACGCTCTCCATGACGAGGAGGGAGTAGTTCACCCTCGGGGCTGAGAGTATGTACCAGTAGCTATGTGTTTGATCTCTCTCTCTCTCTCTCTCTCTCTCTCTCTCTCTCTCGTGTTCTTGATATCGCACGATCTTGATGTATCGCGAGCTTTGCTATTATAGTTCGATCTTATGGTGTTTCTCCCCCTCTACTCTCTTGTAATGGATTGAGTTTTCCCTTTGAAGTTATCTTATCGGATTGAGTCTTTAAGAATTTGAGAACGCTTGATGTATGTCTTTCATGTGCTTATCTGTGGTGACAAATGGGATATCACGTGATCCACTTGATGTATGTTTTGGTGATCAACTTGCGAGTTCCGTGACCTCATGAACTTATGCATAGGGGTTGGCACACGTTTTCGTCTTGACTCTCCGGTAGAAACTTTGGGGCACTCTTTGAAGTACTTTATGTTGGTTGAATAGATGAATCTGAGATTGTGTGATGCATATCGTATAATCATACCCACGGATACTTGAGGTGACATTGGAGTATCTAGGTGACATTAGGGTTTTGGTTGATTTGTGTCTTAAGGTGTTATTCTAGTACGAACTCTAGGATAGATTGAACGGAAAGAATAGCTTCGTGTTATTTTAGTACGGACTCTTGAATAGATCGATCAGAAAGGATAACTTTGAGGTGGTTTCGTACCCTACAATAATCTCTTCGTTTGTTCTCTGCTGTTAGCGACTTTGGAGTGACTCTTTGTTGCATGTTGAGGGATAGTTATATGATCCAATTATGTTAATATTGTTGAGAGGACTTGCACTAGTGAAAGTATGAACCTTAGGCCTTGTTTCAACACATTGCAATACCATTTTCGCTCACTTTTATCATTAGTTACCTTGCTGTTTTTATATTTTCAGATTACCAAAACCTATATCTACCATCCATATTGCATTTGTAGGAAGTGACCGAGACACTCTCATGGTCTGAGAAACTAAAACACATGCTAACACTCCGTGTTATAACAGATGATTTCAGACGATATAATCACAAAGTATAACAAACAAGTTTGGGTCGACTCAATATGATCGTTCTTCTAACATCATTCCCTCAATATTGTTTTAGGACTATCGTTACACTTAACGATATCCTAAGATCTGGAAAACGTGATCACCAACAACACTTGAGCCAGTCTTAGAGGCGAAGCCTATTGTTTACCATTTATCATTTGACACATGCATATGAGTTTTCCACTGAATGGCATATTCCAGAATCATAGTAGTTATAGCATGAAATATAAACTTTTAATTAAAAATAATGAAAATAACAATACAATATTATTGCCTGTAGTGCATATTTCCAACAATCTGCAAATGCACCCTCTATACGAGGCTTTGAAAACCGTAATAGCCACTCGTCGCTTGTAGAGAGATCAAAAAACCGCTGAAGCAACATCAGTTGGAGCATCACCCCGTGCAGTACATGCTTGCAAACCATCATCACCAGTTCAGAGGGTTGGAGAAGACGAACCATGCCACAAAACAATATAGAAGAAGATGTTGAAGTTGTCACACAAATATTCAACCAATAGCTCTCCTTGAAAGACGCACCAATTGTCAAGATCTCAAGGGAAGCAATAGATCTGGTGACAACAACTTTCACAGTCTTCGTTGACGCACGATCGAACATTGTCGAGGTATGGAGAGGTCCAATAGAACTAATTCCAACAATGTCATCGCCGCCACCACCTCGTTAACGTCGTTGTGGAAACAAAAACCTAAGGGAAAGAAAACTAAAAAAATGGGCCCTCATTCCTCTTGCCGCCGACTAAACCGTCAGACGGGGAAAATGAGGGGGCCAAAGGGGCGGCGTGTAGGGAACATATGGCGGCGGCTAGGGTTGGGAGTCTTTTCGTGCCTCCAAACACCCTCTTTGTGACTAGGGTTCTATTCTAGGTAAAGCAATGATGAAGAGTTACATGAGCAGACGTTGGGATTTGTTGAAAAAATGAAGAGGTGGCTTGGATCTATATCTTTCCCTAATAATAAAGCACGGATTGACTTTGTCGGGTTCACCGTCGCGGTGTTTTTACAAAAAATCCCTGAAGTTGTTGACAATTGGACCCGCAGTCCTTTTTTCGTTTCCCTTAGTTTTTCTTCGTACGTGGCTTGGCTATCGTACGTGCTCATATGTCCTGGGCCAAATTGGACATCTGCCAGGTTCGTGCATGGCCCAACAATTCTAGCCCACGTATCCGAAAAATATTCGCTGGTGAAGGTATTGAACTCACAATCTCCAGGATAGTAAACAATGTTGTGGCCACTGAACTAGCCCCTGTTGTGTGTAGGAATCAAAGTTGATTGCGTTGTTAAATTATCCCACCTCGCTCCCTTACATACAATATATCCAACTTATATACGTCTCTCAGTTCCTTCGGTATCAGGAAGAGGATTATGACTGAGAAGAGCTCGTGGAAGGAAGAGATGCTAAGGAAGGAAATATATATATATGTAGAGGCTAAGAAAGGAAAGAGGTGGCTAAGCTAAGAAAGGAAAGAGACGATAAATATGGGCTGCTGGAAAGAGAGGATAATTAACTTTCTATATATAATATGGGCTGCTATTATGTGGGCTATTAAACGATTCATGAGGACGTGAATAATTTAAGGACGATGGATATGCATGTTGATTCACGTTGCCTGTGTTGCCCCGATCAATGGATGAAAAATAGCTGGAGGGACTAAGAGAAGAGGATGTAAATAATTCAAACTCGCCATGCACATACGTGCCAAGTTGAAAGGCTCAAGATAGAAAAATGTGAGTGGTGTTGATCTTTTTTTAATTGACTTGGAAAATAACTAAACATGAAGAGGTTTTGCCGCTAATCATTGTTAACTGAAGTTGGATTTGGTGTTTATTTGTGTCCTTCACAGACTGGTAGAGTGGTACTAACTACTACCCGACATAAAAGCCGGAAAGGAAACAAACACCATCCATAGTCCAAATTGGATACGACATTTTTGGACTAACATATTTATACGTGTTAGCACACTCGCAGGAAGCATGGTAATAACTACTACGACATAAAGTTAGAAACGAAATGAACACATCCATAGTCCAAATAGAATTGCACATTGCTGGACTAACATTATGTACATATGTTAGCATACACGTGGGAAGCATATATACCTAGATTGCCTGTGAAGTATATGGCGAAGATTTATACATGCAAGCAGAAAATAAAACAAATGTCTTTAGGTATATACAAAATAAATTGTTTTCATAGAAGGTGCATGTCTTATATATCCCAAAAAAGTATGGAAGTGTTTGGTAGTGTTTCCCTGCTACTAATTATTGTCAATCCTTATGAGGGACGATCCATGGACCAGGTGCGAGGAGTAGATTGCGCAGGGCGGCCCTTACGCCAACTTGATGAGATTATAGTTTCTAAAATTTTAAGCATCCCCTGCATTGGTACACTTCAATGACAGGTGTGTCGTGTAGTGGCCGAGCTAATCGCCTCAAGATTGACAACTTTCGGACGTGGTATGACCAAGTGGACAATGCAGCAACTATCAATAAGAGCGGAAGAAGTATAAGAGGCGGCAGATGTGTGGTGCTGTGTTGAAATATATGACGTCACATTTGGAAGTCTTGAGATATGATTATTGAGTTAAGGGCATGCAAGATTTTTTTCTTCCGTTGCAAAGCATGGGCATATATGCTAGTTGTACTTATGTTTTTAAGAAAGCTCTTTCAAATTATAAATTAGTTGTACTTGATACTGATGTTTGCATTTTTCTGGATTTATTACAGGCCGCCCAGCGATATGCATTTAATGGGAGGAGTTGTTTCGTTGATTATGAAGGCGTATATGACAAACTTCGCCATTTGTACTGTGTTTAAAAAAGGACGCCGATAAGTCCCGGATTTGACCATGGCATATCGAACGAATTTTGTGGCGATTTATAATTTTATCATTTCCGAAAGAAAAAAAAGCTCTTCCAAATTTGAATTCGTTCCCCGTGTGGACAAACAAAAGGAAAGGAATCACTCCCATCGGTCACGCGGGCCCACCAAACCCGCGGTCCCACATGTCATGCCCACACACCACACCCAAACCCAGGTCCAACCCAAGTCCTGACCGGGTGTATAAACCCCGACCACCAAACCCTAGCCTTCCCCCTCTTTGATGCTCTTCGTCCCGCGCCAGGTAGCACTCGCCTCCCTACCCTCCGCCCCCGCCGCTGCCGCCGCCGCCGCCATGGCCAAGGAGGAGGCCAAGAAGGAGAAGAAGAGCAAGAGCAAGGGGGCCGCCACCAAGGCCTCCCCCGGCCCCGACGCGCGGGTCCTCGCCGCCGTCGCCGCCTTCCTCGAGTCCAGCGGCCTCCCCCGCACGCTCGCCGCCCTCCTGTCCGAGGCCAACCTCGAGGTACGCCACGCCACCTCTCTCTCTCCCAGACGCATCCGCGTGTATTGACATTTCGGGTGGACGATTATTAAGTCTCGAAAGCTGTGAATTGGCTGCTTCTAGGGAGATGCTTGGAGGTCGTCGCCGGTGAACCTGGAGGACGTGGTCTCCAAGTTGTTGGAATCAAGGTACCTCTGTCACGAGAGAGTCTTGATTGTTGTTAAATTGCTTCTGCTGGTGAGCCATATGCTCCCCTGGAAACTGGAATTGCTGATTCTTAATGCAATTTTGGTTGTTGTGTGCAGCACTTCTGCTCCAGGAGCTGACATTACCGCGAGCAATGAGCAAGGTAGCTACATCTTTGTTTGTTATTATGAGTTGTCCTGGTTTGGCGTAGACCCTGTATTCCCTTTTGATTGGTGCTCACCTGAATTTGTTGATGCAGAGAAAACAGATGATGCCGTAGCAGAAGAGAAAGGCGTGGGCAAGAAAAAGAAGAACAAGAAAGGCGGTGCCGAAGCTCACGAGTCCGAGAGTAAGGCAAGTGAGCCCTCTGCCCCTGAAAAGCCCAGCGAGAAGGCGGATGATGAGACCAAAGAAAAGAAACGGAAGAAGAAGAAGGATAGCTCATCGGTGGGGGATGATGGCGAGGCAAATGCAGTAGTGAAGACTGATGATCAGAAGACTGATGGCAAGAAAAAGAAAAGCAAGAAACAGGAGAATGATGAGGATGTTGAAGCTAGGCTGGAAAAGGTGGAATTAGCAGTAAAAGCCAAGTTTGAGGCGGCTGGGAAACTCAAGGATCATGACAAGAAATCTGGAGAGGATGAACCTAAGACTCAGAATGACGAGGCTAATGAGAACGGTTTGAGTGATGGTGCTCCTCTGGATAAGGGGAAGAAAAAGAAGAAGAGTAAATCAACTTCAGAGACCTCAGATAAGATTGATGCAGGAACTGCACCTGCCGAGGCAGAGGTGAAATCTAATGGTTCCAGTGAAAATAATAATGCTGTGGGAGAAGGGAAAGATGTCAATGAGAAGAAAAATAAAAAGAAGAAAAAGAAGTCAGGTTCTGAAGAAAATGTTCAGGTAGAAGATAAACAAGTTGCAGGGAAAGATTCAGCTCCCAAACCAGATGATGAAAACAAGACTGCCATGGACATTGAGAACGGACAAGATGGAAAGGCTTCAGCTGATGATGCAGTTGTTAGCAAGAAGAGGAAACTGGAAGAAGTTGAAGGAAGCAAACCCCCTGCCAAAGAAGATATCACTGCCACCGAAGATGATGTGAAGGAGCCCAGCACTGCATCGAAATCAAATAAACGGCAGAAACTTTCTGAGGTATGATGTTTGCTGCCTCTCCAATTGCGTATGATGTTCAATATCTCTCCAATTTCTTCTAGAATTGCTTGTTTGTCACGTTACAGTTAATCACCCTGACAGTTGAAAGTCTTGACAATATTTTCTGGTAGCTTCTTACATTCTGTTACATGAAGCCTTATTTAGTCTTCTTATATACGTATTATGTAGTTCATTGTATCTATTAATATTATCATACTAAGTCTGTACATATTTGTGTTATTATTCGTATATATATTGCTAATACCTAAAGTACTTACTATTATTGTTGTTGTTCCTGTTACTATTATTATTGCTGTTATTATTTTGTACTAAGAAAATATGTTAGGCTGTTGTGACCACTGACCGGTGGTACTTGCTATGATAATTTCTAGGGCTTTTCGGATATGCTGACCTCTAAGTCTTGATAATTATCTTTTACTTGATGTTCTCAAGATAAAGCTTGAATAAGCATTCTGAGAGTTGGCAAGATCTTGATTATCCATGTCTTGTTCATTCACTGCAGCCTAAAATTGCATTCCAACGGGTAAAGACTGAAGATATTAAATTTGCTGATGAAAGACTACAAGATAATTCATATTGGGCCAAGGTACCTACTGTTGGAAGATATACTCTCTGAGGTTTATTGATCATAAGCTTGTAGCAATTCGAGCATTTCTCAATGATGCTAAACTTGCTTGGTTGATCTGTACTTATCTCCTCACAGGGTGGCGCCGACTCTGGGTACGGTGCAAAGGCACAGGAAATTCTTGGACAAGTTAGAGGAAGGTTGAAGACTTGCTCTTGTTTTCTTCGTCTTTTGCTGAATTCCGTACTGCTGAACATGTTTTCATGATTTGTGTTCAAATTTTTTTGCAGGGATTTTAGGCACGAGAAGACCAAGAAGAAGCGCGGAACCTACAAGGGTGGGTTCATTGATCTACAAACCCACTCGATTAAGTTTAACAATTCAGATGACGAGTAATCGCGTCATTTGTTCGAGCCGTGCGACATTTCCCATTCTTGCCCTCGTTACTCGGTCAGTCTTGCTGAACGGAAGAAGTGAAGGCATGCCTGCTTTGCAGAGAAGAAGCAAAAACATTGAATTGTTGTATCCTGCCCTTTTTGTTATGCTGCATGCTCTGTTAAGTCATCAGAATTTTGTAATGGACTCGGTGAGACGTACATTTTGGCTATCCCAATGGGAAATGAAATATTACTACATAGTAAGTATCGTTTTACTCGCTGCCGTGTCTCTAGCTGCACCTGTCCCTGGTTTGCCGCACTCTTTTACATCACAGAAATTGCAAAGCTGTCTGTTTCAACTTTCAACTAAGGCTGTTTTTTAAGAATATATATTCTATTTTTATTTTATATCTTGAAAGGAAGAGCAGGATATAATTTTTCAATCTAACAAGAGGGTATACTTTTTTTTAGCTTACAAGAGGATTTTTTTAGAAAAGAATTACAAGGATATAATTCAGCATCATGTATAGCAACTAGGTCAGGCGTGATCAGTTGGATTTGCGATTTTGGCTATGCTAATGCGAAATGAAATATTATATTTCCGATAGCGCCCAAAACAACGTGAAAAGGCACATCTTTAACAATCATTGATCGCGATTGCCCACAGGCAGGCGCGGCGGTTTACTGCAAGACTGTTTGGTGACGCAATTTGCCACGCCTAAGCTAAGGCGTTAGCCACACCTGTGGCAAGAAGAGTGGCGGCTAAAACAAGTGCCACACTTTTGGCGAAAATTTCCAATGCAAAAGCCTCTTCGAGCTGTGGCGAGCCGAAACTTCCTAAGCAACCATACGTTTGCGTAGCAAGTTGTGGCACACCACACCTTTGGTGTGCCTAGCTAAGGCTGGCAACCAAACAACCCCTGCGCCACTCTCCTCCTGCTCCCATTACCGCCGCCCCTTCCCCTCCCGCTCAGCAGCGACTTCGGTGTGTCGGGATCCACGACTACATCCCCCTTTTGAGTCTGACTTGTCCCTATCCACTCCCCAGCCCGCCTCACTTTTCGTTACGCGCAGCCGCACCCTGTTGGCCTCTGACGATGACATCATCACCCGCTCACCACAGGTCGGAGCCGAGCGAGGGTGTGGGAGGGGGAATGACACAGAGCGACCGATACCGGAGGTATATTTGGAGAACGCGAAAATTTTGTAACCACCAACGTGTAAAGCTTCTTATAAAAATGAACGGAAGGAGTAGCACTTTATTTGTGGCACAACTGGGCTACACATCTCCCCCATTAACCGTTAGTACTGACTGCACCCTTTCTACTACTTGAAGAAAATGCAAAGCTCTCTGTCCCCGATTTACTGTTAATACAGAGTACCACTCTTTTATATCACAGAAAATGCGAAGCTATCTGTTTGAAGTGAGGTTATTAATTTTCAAAAAGAACACACTATATATTTTTATTTAATTTGAAAGGCAAAAGCAGGATTTTTTTTTTCAGGATGGTTACTTAAGGATATTATGGAGCATCATGTATTAGCTTTTTTTTAGAACAACATCATGTACTACAGTATTAGCTTTTTTTAGCAGACATCATGTTTTTTCCTATTTTTTTGAGAAACAGCAGACATCATGTATCTTATAAAAATGAACGGAGGGAGTAGCACTTTATTTGTGGCACAACTCGGAAATTCAATTTGGCTCCCGGGCCCAGAATTAATTTTCGAAACGCCACAAAAATCAAGACAAAAAATTTTATGTGTTGTTAGTCACATCCAAATACTACCTGCAAAATTGGAGGCAAAAAAGTTAACCATTTTGGCCTGCGCAACAAAAAAATGAACATCAAATGTTGCCCCCCAAAATTTATTTTTTTCACCAACGAAACACTACTGCTCCGTTTCGTATGAAAATTGTCAAGCATGCTTGCAAAACTAACACTAACATCCACAAAAAAATAAGATTTTTTTTTAAAACAATCACTTTTTTTTCACGTTACTGTTTGCATGTGCTCCCGGGAGCCAAAACGCCCCTCCCTGCACAACTGGGCTACACATCTCCCCGATTAACCATTTTTTGCAAAATTAATTCAGATTTACTGCCCAAGTTCACCGGAAGTACATAGCACCTCAAGCATAATAAAAATTACATCGAGATTTCGAGACCACCGAACGACCACTATTGACTGCACCCTTTCTACTACTTGAAGAAAATGCAAAGCTCTATGTCCCTGAGTTACTGTTAGTACATACCACTATTCTTTTATATCATAGAAAATGCAAAGCTATCAGTTTGAAGTGAGGTTATTAATTTTCAAAACGAATACATTATATTTTTTTATTTAATTTGAAAGGCAAAAGCAGGATTTTTTTCCAGGAAGGGTACTTAAGGATATTATGGAGCATCATGTATTAGTTTTTTTATCATTTATCATAGTGTTAGCCTTTTTTAGCAGACATCATGGTTTTTCTTTTTTCTTTTTGAGAAACAACAGACATCATGTACATTAGCTACACTAGCTGGATGAGCAGCTGGGCCAGGCCATGAAGGCATCACAAGGTTGCTTCGGTGTACTAGGTGGGCTGGGCCTTGGGCCTAAGTTGGTCCTCCATTTGCTTAGCCTGCCCATTGCCCAGTACAGCACGCGCACAGAGGGCCCAGTCCACACAAAGGGTCAAAGCTGCAGTCTCCACACAGAGACAGAGGGAGAAGAAGCAGAAACAGAGCTGATTGCTGTCAAGAGAGTGCCTCTTGTCTGTTGCCTGCCATGATGACCACAGCAACATTGGAGCAAACCCCATGGCAATGATGGTGGTAATGATGATGGTTACATCAGCATCCATCTTTGAACAGCCTGACCCAGTTCAAATGCAGTCAAGATAAACTTGAGCTGCTGCTGGTCCAGTCCAGTCCAGTGCCCCACTCACTCACTCAATCCATGGCGGTCAAGATCCTCCCAGACCAAAGCCAGGCAGGAGGAGATGTGCCGCTGCAGCAACCTATGCTAGCATCCCACTGTGGCTAACAGTGGCTAGCACACACAACCTGTGAGTGAGGCTGTGGCCTAGCCTATGGAAACCTAAGACAGGTCACCTCCATGGCGCCTTGTAGTGACATGCTGCGTGCACTGTGGCCATGCCCATGCCTGGTCTGGCCCCTGGAAGAATGGCCTTCTCTGCTTGTGCATGCATGCATGTGTGCAAGCTTGCTTACAAAATCTGGACTCAATGCAGAGAAAGCTTTTCTTTCGGATTTCATGGAGGTTTCTCTCTCCACCTACCTCTCTTGGAGTCTTGGTTTTTGTACATGTTTTGTGAAGATTACTCATGCCATCATGTCGAAGCATCAAAGGAGCTGAAAGACCAGAGAGCAGAGAGTCTTCACGCATCCTGATGAAGATGCTCTACGGTGCTGCTTGGATTGTGACTATCTTTGCCACATGATTTTTGCCACACTTGCTTTAGTTGAGTTGCTCAAATTGTTAGCCACACTTTGGCTTGCCTAAGAGAATCTTGCCACACTTTTTATGTCTATGACATGTGGGGTTCACTGCTCATAAAATAATCCTTGCCTTAGGTGTGGCTAGAACCAAACACCTACCTAACTTGGTCAAACTTGCCTAAGGTTAGGCGTGGCAAAGTGTGGCAAAGTGTGGCTGAAAACCAAACCATCCTGGCCCGTGAGTGCACACATGTCTTTCCCCCTGCCAGGGATCTCCTCTGGGTTTCACAAAAGAAAGAAAGACCTTTTTTTCTTCTCTGATCTGATTGGACTCATCCTATGCCTCCTCGTCTACATATGCTGCTGCCAGTTTCATGCATATATCTATCTGAATTGAGTACAAATATTAAATCATAAATAAAACATTTCCAAGCGGCGCGTGCAGCTGCACACGTACTGCACGCACAGCTTTTCTTTAATTCTCTACCAATACCATTCAGGCGGCACTGCAAGAAACAAAGAATCCATTGAAACTCCTCTCAAGAACTGTTTGCAACAATGCAGAGAAAGAAAATAGGTGTGATGATTAATCCATTCAAAACCCTGAAGAACTGTTTGGTCCTCTGACCCGGCGACTTGTACCTCACAAAACTCTCAAGAACTGCTGCCGCTGCAGCTGGCCTGTACCTCACACATCGCCATAACTGCCCGCATGCCACAACAGTACAGCACGAGGAGGAGACGAGAGACTTCACCTGCTGCAAGCAAGCATGCAAAGACTGCTGGCTACTATAGCTAGCTAGATTGAGTGGGGTTTCCAACATGTACGTACGTACGTACTACTACAAATGCAGACGTACACCTTTTGCAGATCTCTTTCCCTTGGATTGCAAGCAAGCCAAAGCCAGTGGTGACCTGCCACAGGGCCATTCATCTGCTGATACTGTACAGAACTATGCCCCAAAAGTCATGATCGCCTCTGCTGCCATTCAAATGCTGGCATAAAAGGGCACACCTAACGTATTTAGGGCATGGACACTTTGGAATGATTAGCGTTCTTAAAAGCATAGCACCCCAGGCTCTAAATGATTTACTAGTCCCTCCATGGTGCCATTGTGCCATGGCAGAAGAAGAAGCATTATGTTGACTAGCAGCAGCACTAGTGGGGGTATGGATGTCCTCCAATTTGAACCAAGCAGGTTTGGCGCCAAAGTCCATCCCAGGAGACAAGTTGGAATTTCCCATGGCACCTACTGTTGAAACTTATCATCCTTGGGGCAAGCACTCCAATTTCACATGAATATTTGCAGGATGGTGACATCAAGCATTGGGCAATGTGGCCTAAAAAAGCCCAACAGACAGTAACAACTGTAAGGGCTAATTAAACTACACTACATGGGTGAGGCTAACCAGAAGGAACAGGACAAGAAACCACAGGAGTGTGCCACCTTATATTAATATATATTGTTAAAAAAAGGTTTGGTTAGTAACAGAAATGGGTTTGATGGACATAGACTAATGTTGTGTGTTTTTATTAGGGAAACTGATAATGTTGTGTGGGGAGGAGGACATGA